GAGAGAGAGAGAGAGAGAGAGAGTGAGAGAGAAAGAGAGAAAGGTCAAGATATTGCGTGATAATGTGGACGTTTTTTCACGAAGTAATTATATCAATTGTCTATGTCAGCCAATGGACAGTGCAATCGTGCTACGAACGAGATCAAGTACAATTTACAAGCACATTTTGTACCGAAAACACTGGGCTAGGCGTGAGTCTAAACGCTAAGTTGTATTTTAGAATATACATTTATTTATTTTTTGTTTGTTTGCTACAGGCAACATCGTGAATGTCTCCTCCATTGGAAGCTCTATGATTGTAAGTACATGTATTACCTGTTTAAGCTTTTCAACACTCTTGCTTCTCTCAGAGTCAAAACATGCTAACGTGTATTTTCTTCTTTCTTTCTCATAATCATGTATTAGACTTGTTTTACATTCTATGCTCTTTACAGCGAAGTCTTACCCACTTACCTACCTACTCTCTCCCTATGTGGATGGTTGGCGGGTGCTCTGGTGTGGTTTGCTTCTTCTTTCCTATGAAACATCTATCGTCCTTAACTCTCCTATTACTTTTTATATGTTTGTTACTCTCTTGTAACGCCTCTAAATCTAATCTTCTTGCGCTCATATGACCTTACGTAATTGCAAGTGCCGTAAAACTTCTACTAAACTAACCCTCTCCCTATACTGTCAGGTACATAAGAAGGCAGTGGACAGTGGACGCCATGCTTGTCTCTCCCCACTAGCCACTTCCTTCAACCTTGGCAAACCAAGGCTCTATGTGAGGCAGCGTGGTGGAATCAGGCTCTCGTCAATTTTTGGGCATGTAGAGTTATTGGTATCATCTTAAAGCTTGTTCACTTGTCTTTATTTGGATGAAAAAAATACCAATTTATCTTGAATACAAGTCGAGATATTTGCAAAAGAAGGAGGTGTGGGTCACTTGTTTTCAGAGGTAAAATTAGTGAGAAAATGGCCGCCAAAGATTAGTTATTTCTTTAGCTTAAGAGTCCGTGGTAACTGAAAATTGACATTTTTGTGTGCCTTTAATCAATGTTTTTCAGAAAATCTACACAGAAATGAGTTCTTTAATGGGCATGAAAGGTGTTGAGCAAAAAAACAAAAATTTGATAAAAATTCACAAACCAGCGGAAAAATGCAAGTTTCTACACTTTGATTATTTTGACGAGAGCCTGATTCCACCACGCTGCCTCACCTATGTGATTGCCCGATTGTGCTACTGTAACTTCCAGTTGGTTTACCTCTTCTTGTTTTTCTTGTTGGTCTTCAGTGCCTTGTTTGATAGGGTGATCGTGTCAGGCATTTTCAAACCATTTCTAAGATATCGCCATCTTCTCTCTTTTATGGCAGTGATGATATCTTCAATTTCAGCTCTTTCCAATACATCATCCAGTTTATGAATAGAATTTTTCGTAAACGTTTCGTTTTTTAAATCTTTTAAACTTTAGTTGGATTTCTTTGTTTTCTGTATCACTGAGCCATACACTCTCTAAAACAATGCTTTTTATAACTTTCTAATTCTTTGAACTCCAAATGGTTTATACTTTAACATTTACAAAAGCCGTCTGCGCATTTTCAAGTCTTTGGTGAACGTTGTTAATACTGTCAAGGTACCGGTACTTGAATTTATCATTTTCTGTAGAAGTTCTCCATAAAGAGAGATGGAAAAAGGTTTTGGTGATAGTCGTAGAACTTCCTGTTTTTGAAAAAAACCAAAAACAAGGCCAACGTATTTTTTTGTAGAACACGCTGATTCATCGGTTATTAATAGCATTTCACGCACTGTGATGTCTTATAGGCAAAATTTCACTCGCAAAATGTAAATTTCCCATAAAAGTACCTATTTATTGTCCATTTAATGCTTGTTTAAATGTCTTCGATCTGTTATACAATGACAGTTCCAAAGAGTACAGATGATAGTATTCAGCTTTGTCTAACTCAGGTATTAACTTTAAAAAGTGCAAGACGGTTCTCCTTCAACTGGGAAAAAGCCTTTAATTTTGTTTTGGTATGAAATGATTCTAAACAGTTTATTTTTTTTTTTTTGAGGGGGGGGGGGTAGTAAAATAAATTGCAAGGCTTTTTCACAGAACCTTTCGACTTATGCTGTCAATCATCCTTTTTTAAAGTTAAGGTAGTTAAAAATTATTGGGACATTCTATTAATTCTACTTTCTTTCTTTATTTTTGAAAAAAACCCATTCAATTTTTAAAAAGTGCCATCATACTTTTATATAAAGTAAGGGTCCCTGCACCGCCATCAATTGTGATAACGGATAGAAGTTTTAGGGAAAACGTTTTCTACACAGACATATCAAAATTCAAAACTGCCCCCCCCTCCCCCCCACACACACACATAAACAAAGCTGCAGTCTGATGTTCTACGAAAGGATCTCGACGATGCCATTTGAGTTTGAGCTGTGTTTATCAATCTGGATTTTATGGCCTCAAATGGGCCGTTTTAGAAATTTTGGTTGGTGACGGTGATTCGTATGAGTATTGGCAGGTATTATTTATTAATGCCCCCTTTAAATGTGTCTATATAGGCGATATGAAAGTGTTAGCCTCTTGGAGGTAATAAAACTTGGATGTGGATATAAAGACTGTTATCTGAAGTTGACTATTTCCCATGGCTTGTAGATTTGGAAGATCCAAAAACGTCCATGAAAGGAAAACATAAGCAAACACGTAAATCAAACAGTATATAGAAAAACAAACCAGTAGCTGGTGCTTTATTGCTAATGATAGGCCTATTATCGTTTGTTTCAAGTCCAGTTCCATAACATTAGTAGGATGTACTATTTCAAACAGTTTTCTCAAATAGACAATGCGACTTGATCTGTACGCGAATATATACGTGACTTAACTCGTGGATATTCTTTCAGCTTGTTTTTTAATCTATGTATTTACTGCTTTTCTCTGGCCTCTCCACCCTGGCTCTGCCCCCCCCCCACCCCTCCCCTTGCGGTCTTTACAGAATCCTGGGTTATTTAACTACAGCTGTGCCAAGATGGGTCTGAACATCTTCACCAATTATGCTGCAACAGGTGTGTATGTATATATGCGCGCGCGCTTTGTGTGTGTGTTAGTGTGCGCGCGCGTGTGTGTGTGTGTGTGTGTGTGTGTGTGTACACGTTTGCGTATGGTGTGTATGTATGTGTGTGTGTGTGTTTGTGTGTGTGTGTTAGTGTGCGTCTGTGTGTCTGTGTATGGGTGTGTGTAT